AGAAAAAAACAGGAAAGGGCAGTTTCTTTTCTTGCTATTCTGTGCAGATTGGACTGACCACTGCTGGAACCAGGATGTTGGGGTAGAACGGATCTTTTGGTCCGATCCTGCAGGGCAATTCATTTTCTCACGCAGCAGGAGGAGTGGTGGTTAAGCCCCATCTTTTTAGAAGAAGAAGAGGAGATTGGATTTATACCCCGCCCTTCACTACCCAAAGGAGTCTCAGAGCGGCTTACAAACTCCTTTCCCTTCCCCTCCCCACAACAGACACCCCCTGTGAGGTAGGTGGGGCTGAGAGAGCTCTTGACAGAAACGGCTCTTTTTCAAGGACAGCTCTTGTCAGAACTACGGCTTGCCCAAGGTCATCCAGCCAGGTGCAAGTGGAGGAGTGGGGAATCAAACCCAGTTCTCCCAGATGAGAGTCCGCGCACTTAACCACTACACCAAACTGGAGGAGGAGGAGGACCCAACGGCCACCAAGATGAGTCACTGTTTATAGCAGGGATCCCAAACCTTCTTGAGAGAGGAGGAGGAGGAGATTGGATTTATACCCCACCCTCACTCAGAGTCTCAGAGTGGCTTGCAATCTCCTTCCCTTCCTCTCCCCATAACAGGCACCCTGTGAGGTAGGTGGGGCTGAGGGAGCTCTGACACAAACTGCTCTTTTTCAAGGACAGCTGTGCCAGAGCTTGTGACTGACCCAAGGTCACATCAGCAGGTGCAAGTGGAGGAGTGGGGAATCAAACCTGGTTCTCCCAGATTAGAGTCTGCGCACTTAACCACGACACCAAACTGGCTGGTGGTACTGGATTCAAACTTTGTTCTGTTGCTTCAGACCAACACAGTTGCCCACCTGAAACTATCTGAAGGTTGTGGAGTTTTTTCTTTAACCACCTTCTCACAGGGAAATGTGAACATAATCAGACTGGCAGCAGCTCTCCAGGGGAATAATCCTTTCTCGGGGAACAATCAATCTTTTGTACCACCTGCTACACGCTCCTTTTTAACTGGAGATGCCGGGGATTGAACCTGGTACCTTCTGCATTCCAAGCAGATGCTCTGCCACTGAGCTACAACCCTTGCCCTCCTCCTCCTCCTCCTGCCTGGAGGATGAGCAGAGGCAGCCAAGAAATGAAGCCAGTGCGGTAAGGGCTGCCTGCTCACCCTGATGCTGTGAAGAAGGGGTGGCACTTTTAACAGTGGATCTCTGTGAATTCCCTTTGGCGTAGTATTATATGCTACCGCAGTAATTTGGAAAACTGCTCCAAACTGGCTTTTGATCCCAAATCACTGTAATTAATCCTCATATGGCAGTGTGTGTAGTATAGCCAGGGGAACCTAAGATTGTCTGGCAGCCAGAAGTTCTAGCTGTTTAGCGTTACACACTTTGGTGGGAAGGTCACAGCGTTCTGTGCACGGCTTTGGTGTTGAGTCATGCCGGCCACATGACCACGGAAACGTCTTCGGACAGCGCCGGCTCTTCGGCTTGGAAACGGAGATGAGCACCACAACCCTAGAGTCGGGCTTGACTGGCTTTCAAACAAGGGAACCTTTACCTTTATCACTAAGTGGCCAGCTAGACTTATTTTTCAGGCAAGAGACCTTTCAGAGGTGGTTTGCCATTGCCTCCCTCTGCGTCACGACCCTGGTATTCCTTGGAAGTCACCCTACCAAATACAAACCATGGCTGACCCTGCTTAGCTTCTTAGATCTGACGGGAACTGACTAGCCTGGGCTATCCAGGTCAGGACCCTAAATCAGCGTGACTGCTGTGAATTCCCTGTCCCCCATATAACACCCGTCACGCCACCTCTTTCTCCTTTCAGATCCAGCTGTTCCACGTCTCCACGGACGCTCTGCCAGGGACTCACCAAGGCTGGGCAGCAGTGTAGGAAAAGGCCGCTCCTCGGCCATGTCTTCTGTCGAGTTCACGTCTCTAGCCAGGCCTCTTACACCTCCTGAAGAGCCAGTGAAAGGTTTTGCTTTCTCTCTTCCAAACGGAGAGAGCAAAGATAGTACAAGGCTGGGGGAAACCGTTCCCGACACTCCTCTTTTGAAGAATGTTTTAAATCTTGGTTTTTATAATGTGTACTTCCGGCCAGAGAATCGCCAACTCCAGCTTCAGTGTCCGACCACCCTTAAAGAAAACGGGCCTCTTGAAATGGACCGCACGCAAACTCTCCTCTGGCTCTTCTGGGGTCGGATATAGTTTGAGAAAGGACTTGTGGACGAAGGAGGAAAGTGTTTGCCGGAGAATCAGCTTTGTGCAAGAAGCTGGACTGCTTTTTTCCTCTGACGGGGAGTGTCCGTTTGCAGTGGTTTCTCGGGCCGGTGCCTTAATCCCCCAGTTCTTGGTAAGCTCCGCAAGCAAAAACCGACTTCTTTTCTCTTCTCTCTGTCAGAGAACTCTGCTTCCAGGGGTGAGCACTGGCACACCCCTTCCCCGAAAGGAGATGCCAAATTCCGAATCGTTTTTTACAGTGCCTGGTTTTTAAAATGCAAAGGAAGTGCTGTGTGCACATCTGGTTAATAAATGTTTGTTATTACAGGGAACATCTGTGGTCACATCTCAAAAAGGACACTGCAGAGCTGGGGAAAGTACAGAAGAGGGCAACCACGATGCTTAGGGGGTTGGAGAACCTTCCCTAGGAAGAAAGGCTGAAGAGCCTGGGGCATTTCAGTTTAGAAAAGTGCATTTCTGGTCCCCACACCTTAAAAAGGATATGATAGCTTTGGAAAAAGTGCAGAAAAGGGCAACTCGAATGATAAAAGGGCTGGAACACTTTCCCTATGAGGAAAGGTTAAGGCGCTTCGGGCTCCTTAGCTTGGAGAAACGACGACTGAGGGGTGACAAGATCGAGGTTCATAAGATTATGCATGGGATAGAGCAGGTAGAGAAAGAGGTACTTTTCACTGCCACAGGAGGTGGTGGTGGCTACAAGCATGGACGACTTCAAAGGGGAATTAGATAAGCATCTGGAGCAGAGGTCCATCAGTGGCTATTAGCCACAAGGTACAGATAGGGGCTCTGGGGCAAGTGATGCTCTGTCTTCTTGGTGCTTGGGGGGCCCAACAGTGGGAGGGCTTCTAATGTCCTGGCCCCACTGGTGGACCTCCTGAGGGCACCTGGTATTTCTGGCCACTGTGTGACACAGCGTTGGACGGGATGGGCCTTTGGCCTGATCCAACATTGGCGTATCTTATGTTCTTATGACTAAGGGAGGGAAACGATAGTGCATCCCACGATAGTGCATCCCTGACAAATGTTTGTCTTGCCGCTGCTCGAACACTGGTGGGGAGGGGGAGCTCACCACCTCCCCAGGCAGCCCATTCGACTGCTGAACGCTCTGACTGTAAAAGATCTCCCCCCCCAAAATATCCCTCCAGTATCCTGCCCATAATTTAAACCTGTTACTGTGAGTCCTATCTTCTGCCCTACTCTGACAGCTGTTCCACTACACTGGGGTCAGGAACAATACTCCCTCTAAGCTGTGGAGTCCTGTGAGCAAAAATTCTACTTTGGGAGCTACCGGCATTAAAGTTGTGAGTGCGTGATTTGGCTACTGGATAAATCCGTTTGCTCTGGAGCCCTCCTTTCTGAGCTAAGACAAAGAAGAGGAGATTGGATTTATACCCTGCCCTTCACTACCCAAAGGTGTCTCAAAGCGGCTTACAAACTCCTTTCCCTTCCCACAACAGGCACCCTGTGAGGTAGGTGGGGCTGAGAGAGCTCTGACAGAAACTGCTTTCTCAAGGACAGCTCTTATCAGAACTACGGCTTGGCCAAGGTCACATCAGCAGGTGCAAGTGGAGGAGTGGGGAATCAAACCCGGTTCTCCCAGATTAGAGTCCGTGCACTTAATCACTATACCAAACTGGCTCACACAAAATGTGCGAGCTGGAGGCTAAAAAACTGTGAGCTAGCTCACACTAACTCAGCTTAGAGGGAACACTGGCCAGGAAGCAACTTTTCTCCAGGCCAGTTTGGCTGGAGCTCCTGGATGTTTTTTTGTCATCATCTGGGTGTGGAACAGCGGTCACTGTGGGGGGCGTGGGTTTCTTTGGATTTCCTGTATTTTGCAAGGGATTGGACCAGATGACCCTGGAGGTCCCTTCCAACTCTATGATTTAATGAGAGAGCCATCCTGTCCCCCCCACCACCTCCTCTTCTCCAGACTGAACATTCCAAGTCCCTCAGCCTTTCCTCACAGGGCTTGGTCTCCAGGCCCCCGATCATCCTCGTCGCTCTCCTTTGCACCCGCTCCGTTCTCTCCACACCCCTTTTGAAGTGAGCCCTCCAGAGTTGCACATAGCACTCCAGATGTGGCCTGACCAACTTTGTCATGTCTCTACCCCCCCCCTGTCAGGCTACTGTGTGAAAGACAGACCAATGTTCACAGGGGCCTTTTATAGCCATAATTTCCCCTATGAGGAAAGGTTAAAGCGCTTAGGGCTCTCTAGCTTGGAGAAACGACGACTGAGGGGTGACATGATTGAGGTTTATAAGATTATGCATGGGAAAGAGCAGGTAGAGAAAGAGGTACTTTTCTCCCTTTCTCACAATACAAGAACTCGTGGGCACTCCATGAAATTGCTGAGCGGTCGGGTTAGAATGGATAAAAGGAAGTCCTTCTTCACCCAAAGAGTGATTAACACATGGAATTCACTGCCACAGGAAGTGGTGGCGGCTACAAGCATGGACGGCTTCAAAAGGGAATTAGATAAGCATCTGGAGCAGAAGTCCATCAGTGGCTATTAGCCACAAGGTATATATAGATAGGGACTCTGGGGCAAGGGATGCTCTGTCTTCTTGGTGCTTTGAGGGGGGGGTCAACAGTGGGAGGGCTTCTGGAGTTCTGGCCCCACTGGTGGACCTCCTGATGGCACCTGGTATTTCTGGCCACTGTGTGACACAGAGTGTTGGACTGGATGGGCCTTTGGCCTGATCCAACACTGGCTTCTCTTATGTTCTTAAGGCTTGTGAAAGATTCTCAAATGCTCTGAAGTGGGCACGGTGCTCTTCCAGGCCATAAACATGCCTGCTCTGATGACCGGGGGGGTTATGATCCACCATCCTCCTGGATAAATTGCATGCTGGTTCCCCAAGGCAGAAACCAGACCTCACCAACGCGGAAGAGGCCACTTGGTTTCTAGACGCAGAACACAAGAACCGGGAGGTCACTTTGATTTATTGGAGAGCCTGCTGAGGCCGCCTCTTCAGACAACATTCAACAGCTACTGATGAGAGGTCATTCCCGTACATATCGATCTCCTCGAAAGAAGCTGGAGTGCTCCCCTTTATTTGCATGAACGCAAAGGGTACAAACCCAGGAACACCCTAAGTGTTGCTGAGGGTTAAGCGCCTTCACCCCACCCGAGTCTCCGAATTCCCAGAGACCCCCGCTTGAACCGCCCCACCTAGCTCAGCTTCGGCTGTTCTCGCCGCCAGTAAGTTGCCTAGCATTCCAGAGAGAAGGGGGGGGTGTCTTTCTCAGTCCTGTCCATGAGATCCGTTTTCAAGGAGATGGTGAAGGCTGAACCCAGGACCTTTGGCAGGTCTATGCCCTCTGGCAGTGAGTACCACAGGCAAAGTCTGCCTCCTAAGCTCCCATGTGTAAGAACAGAGTCTAGCAGCTGACATATGGTCACTGGCTCTTATAAAGTCGCCCAAGTTCCTCTCTGGGGAATGGTCTCTTTTCTAAACCTGGAGGGCAATTTCGGATGTAGAAGAAGAGGAGGAGATTGGGTTTAGAACCCCACCCTTCACTACCCAGAGGAGTCTCAGAGTGGCTCACAAACTCCTTTCCCTTCCCCTCCCCACAACAGACACCCTGTGAGGTAGGTGGGGCTGAGAGAGCTCTTGGCAGAAACGGCTTTTTTCAAGGACAGCTCTTATCAGAGCTACGGCTTGCCCAAGGTCATCCAGCAGGTGCAAGTGGAGGAGTGGGGAATCAAACCCGGTTCTCCCTGACTGGAGTCCACGCACTTCACCACAACACCAAACGGGAAGCCAAGCTCCAACAGGAAGCCAAGCTAGCGACGCTCTCCCAAAAAGACGACGACATTGACATTGTGCTAAGGGACAGGAGTTGTGACTTCTGGGCCGGCTACAAATTTGGGGAGGGGGGAGAAGCTCGAAGACTGATTGTGTTTGATTCAGCCCTCACCACCACCTCTGAGAGCACAGTGCGGCAAAGGACTGACCCCCCCAAAGAGAAGTTTGCTCTGTTTCTCAAACACCTACCACCTCAAACACCCTTCCAAATCCCCCCCCCAATGCCCATATTTATTCAAATTCTTTGATGCAGCAAAGGAAACCCCTGAGTTTGCCGACAGAATGAGGACAGCAGCGGTGGCGGCCCTTGGTCCTGACCCCACCGACCCCCTTCCTCACTTCCTGGCGGTGTCGTAATTGGCGCAGAACCAGTCGCACGTCTCCTTCACGGCTGCGGAAGGGAAAGGGAGAAGAAGAACAGACTTAGTGCAGCAAAAGGGAGGGAACTTAAAACGATCAGTTCTTCTATTCCTTCCCCACCTGCCCCCTCCTCCCAAATATGGAATTCACTACCATGGGATGTAGGGAAGGTCAAGCTTTTGAAAGGGGATTAGACAGATTCATAGACGATGAGTCTATCAATGCCTACTAGCCACGGTGACTAACCTCCACATCCAGAGGCAGAAACCCCCTGAATCCTAGAGCCACGAGGCAACATCAGGGGAAGGCCTTGGCCTCTTTGCCTTGTTGTTGGCCCTCCAGAGGAACTGGTTGGCCACTGGGTGAGACAGGAAAATGGACTAGATGGACCCTCACTGGTCTGATCCAGCAGGGCTCTTCTGATGTTCTTCTCAGGGGAAGGCCTCGGCCTCTGTGCCCTGTTGTTGGCCCTCCAGAGGAACTGGCTGGCCCCTGTGTGAGACGGGAGGCTGGACTAGAGGGACCCTCACTGGTCCGATCCAGCAGGGCTCTTCTGAGGTTCTTCTCAGGGGAAGGCCTCAGCCCCTATGCCCTGTTGTTGACCCTCCAGAGGAACTGGCTGGCCGCTAAGTGAGACAGGATGCTGGACTAGATGGATCCTCCCTGGTCTGATCCAGCAGGGCTCTTCTGTTCTTCTCAGGGGAAGGCCTTGGCCTCTCTACCCTGTTGTTGGCCCTCCAGAGGAACTGGCTGGCCGCTGCATGATAGGATGCTGGACTAGATGGTCCACTGCTCTGATCCAGCAGGACTCTTCCTACATTCTTATGACCTACCTTGGTGAATGATGTTTGTAGTTTTTCCTCATTACAGTGTAAAGACCATTTGCGAAGCTAGTTAAAACCGGGGATTGCTTACTCCTAACAGGTACTGAGATAATTAACACTTTAAATGAGCCAGAGAAGTCTTAAGTCCTGGTTCAAACCGGAGACTGGCACCCACAGATCTCTGAGACCCCAGAATCATTCCTTTTGGCGCTCAGAGAGCTTCTGGAAAGATCTGCCATGGGTTGGACCCTACATAGTTGCAGGAGAATCTGCCGGCAGATGTTTCCCCAGAAGCCAAGAAATCTGTACCCGCGGAGAGGCGGAGGAGGAAGGGGCTGAAATCACCCTTCCTGCTCGTTGCTGATCAGAAAGTCTAAAGAGGCCGCTTGGCGTAGCAGTTGGGAGTGTCGGACTAGGACCTGGGAGACCCAGGTTCGAATCCCCAATTGTGCCACAGAACCTTGCCGGGGGACTTCGGCCCACTCACACACCCTCAGCCCAACCCACCTCGCAGGGCTGTTGTGAGGGTAAAATGGAGGGAAATTATGTCATCGACTTTGGGTCCCCAACGGGGAGGAAGGTGAGATAGATAGAAGAAGAAGAAACGATGACTGAGGGGTGACATGATTGAGGTTTATAAGATTATGCATGGGAAAGAACAGGTAGAGAAAGAGGTACTTTTCTCCCTTTCTCACAATACAAGAACTCGTGGGCACTCCATGAAATTGCTGAGCGGTCGGGTTAGAACGGATAAGAGGAAGTCCTTCTTCACCCAAAGAGTGATTAACACATGGAATTCACTGCCACAGGAAGTGGTGGCGGCTACAAGCATGGACGGCTTCAGGAGGGAATCAGATAAGCATATGGAGCAGAGGTCCATCAGTGGCTATTAGCCAGAAAGCATAGATAGGGACTCTGGGGCAAGTGATGCTCTGACATCTTGGTGCTTGGGGGGGTAAACAGTGGGAGGGCTCCTAGTGTCCTGGCCCCACTGGTGGACCTCCTGATGGCACTGGTTGGCCTGATCACTGTGTGACACAGAGTGTTGGACTGGATGGGCCTTTGGCCTGATCCAACATTGGCGTCTCTTATGTTCTTATGTTCTTATGTTCTTACTGAGAGAACTTGTGACTGACCCAAGGTCACACCAGCAGCTGCATGTGGGGGAGTGGGGAATCAAACCCGGTTCTCCCAGATCAGAGTCTGCGCACTTAACCACGACACCAAACTGGAAGAAGAGATTGGATTTGTACCCCACCCTTCACAACCCGCAGGAGTCTCAGAGCGGCTCACAGACTCCTTTCCCTCCCCCTCCCCACAACAGGCACCCTGTGAGGTGGGTGGGGCTGAGAGAGCTCTGACAGAAACCCCTCTTTTCCAAGAACAGCTCTTATCAGAACTACAGCTTGCCGAAGGTCATCCAGCGGGTGCAAGTGGAGGAGTGGGGCATCAAACCAGGTTCTCCCAGATTAGAGTCCGCACACTTAACCACGACACCAAAATGAAGTGAACAGTAATAATAATATAATGAAGAGAAATCCCGCTCCCCATGAAGTGGCAGCGGAGGAGGCCGTCGTGATTCTCACCTTGAGGGAACGGGGTGAACTGGAAGTCCGGCAAGTATTTCTTCAGTTTGGCGTTGCTCGCCGTCTTCTTGAACTGCCCGTCCGACTTGGTTGTGTCAAACTGGGAAGAGGGCAACAGTTAAAGGAAAACGCCGATCCTGGCTGAAACCTGGAGGGAAAACAGGGTCCTGAGGAGCTCTTGTGGACGTGGGGTACCCCCAGGATTAATGTATAAGAAATATGACTAGCAAAAGCTCCCTGAGCGATGGGTGTCTCAGGACACCATTGGGCAGGGCAGGAAGCGAGGTCAATTACTAGCCATCGTTATGCAAATGACTTGGCTTGCAAGGTTACTGAGGTATTTGGGGTTAGGAAATTCCAGGGGATTCCTGGAGGTTTCCCAGAATGCATCTGTGTGTCCCAGGGTCCTGACCAGCTCAAAAGGGGGGGAGAGCAGTGTTCCCTCTAAGCTGAGTCAGTCTGAGCCAGCTCACAGTTTTTTAGCCTCCAGCTCACACATTTTTGTCTCAGCTCAGGAAGGAGGGCTCCAGAGCAAACCAATTGATGCAGCAGCCAAATCGCTCCCTCACAACTTTAATGCCGGTCGCTCACCGAGTAGAATGTTTGCTCACAAGACTCCACGGCTTAGAGGGAACAGTTGGTGGAGAGGGTGGTGTAAAATGGGTGGACCCTGCTTGCTCCCAGGAGGGACGGACTCTTGGTACTGGTCCTTGGAAGAGGACAGGCTGCTGAGCTCTAAACTGCAGGCCAGGGCGGCCATCTTGGCCACATGGCCTGGCCTGCTGGCTGCAAGGAGCCTGAGGTGATGGGGGTATATTTTTAGAGCCAGGGAAAGAAGGATGCGTGTCGCACCGACTTTTCTTTGTTCTTCTGGTTGCGGCTGTGCTGACAGTGGGCTTGTAACATTCCCCCTTTTTAATAAAGATTTTACTCTTTCAAGCTGGTCCTGTTCTCTGGACCACATGGTTCCCCAACCGCCTTAGACCACGCTACTTTAAGAGGGCAGAAAGGGGGAAGGCAAGCAGTCAAGGCACCTGTTGTCAATTCTCCAGGGGCCCCCCAAAATAGGAATTTGGTCCCTGTGGTAAGCAGCTGCTGGGTAGCAGGTGACCAGAGGCAGGGCCCCAGTCTGAGAAAGGGTGTCAGGTGTCTGTACCTCCTAGCAGGAAGACAAGTGTTCCCTCTAAGCTGAGTTAGTGTGAGCTAGCTCACCATTTTTTAGCCTCCGGCTCACAGATTTTTGAGTCAGCTCAGGAAAGATGGCTCCAGACCAAACTAATGTAAGCAGTAGCCAAGTTGGCCGCTCACAACTTTAATGCCAGGAGCTTGCAAGGTAGAATTTTTGCTCACAGGACTCCACAGCTTAGAGGGAACATTGAGGAAGACCCCAACAGGACAGTGGGGGCAGCAGAACCTAGTGGAAGGAAGTGGAATAGCACCCTTCAAGAACTGGCACAACCCAAGGGGCACTGGCAGATCTGTCGGACCAAACAGGCCTGCTCCGTTGCACCTCAAAAATTATTTGCAAGGATACGTGGAGCTCTCCTTTGAAGTTCATGGCTCCCACAATGCACTCCGCTGCTTCCCGTATAGAGACTTCATCCTCTTCTCCAACTAAACGAACGGAAGCACCACAGCTAAATTTTGCTAAGCAAGCGGAAAAGCAAGCATGTTCCCTGCTGTGGGTTCAACTCCTGCCCCCTCTCCACCCCCTATACTTCTGGCACCTTGGCATGCAGTAAACCGCTGAATCACAGACCCAGGAGGCAACACCAGGGGAAGGCCTCAGCCTCTCTGCCCTGTTGTTGACCCTCCAGAGGAACTGGTTGGCCGCGTTGTGAGACAGGATGCTGGGCTAGATGGACCCTCACTGGTCTGATCCATCAGGGCTCTTCTGATGTTCTTCTCAGGGGAAGGCCTCGGCCTCTCTGCCCTGTTGCTGGCCCTCCAGAGGAACTGGTTGGCCCCTGTGTGAGACGGGAGGCTGGACTAGAGGGACCCTCCCTGGTCTGACTCAGCAGGGCTCTTCTGAGGTTCTTCTCAGGGGAAGGCTTCGGCCTCTCTGCCCTGTTGCTGGCCCTCCAGAAGAACTGGTTGGCCCCTGTGTGAGACGGGAGGCTGGACCAGAGGGACCCTCACTGGTCTGACCCAGCAGGGCTCTTCTGAGGTTCTTCTCAGGGGAAGGCCTCGGCCTCTCTGCCCTGTTGTCGGCCCTCCAGAGGAACTGGCTGGCCCCTGTGTGAGACGGGATGCTGGACTGGATAGACCCTCCCTGATCTGATCCAGCAGGGCTCTTCTGAGGTTCTTCTCAGGAGAAGGCCTCGGCCCTCTACGCCCTGTTCTTGGCCGTGCAGAGGAACTGGCTGGCCGATCTGTGAGACAGGATGCTGGACTAGATGGACCCTCACTGGTCTGACCCAGCAGGGCTCTTCTGGTGTTCTTATCAGGGGAAGGCCTCGGCCTCTCTGCCCTGTTGCTGGCCCTCCGGAGGAACTGGCTGGCCCCTGTGTGAGAAAGAAGAAGAGATTGGATTTCTACCCCACCCTTCACTACCCAAAGTCATTTCAGAGTGGCTTACAAATGCCTTTCCTTTCCCCTCCCCGCAACAGACACCCTGTGAGGCAGGTGGGGCTGAGAGAGCTCTCTCGAGGACTCCCCTTGAGAGAACAGGTCTGAGAGAACTTGTAACTGACCCAAGGTCACACCAGCAGCCGCACATGGAGGAGTGGGGACTCAAACCCAGTTCTCCCAGACTAGAGTCTACGCTCCTAACCACTACACCAAACTGGCCCTACAGCACCCCACTCTGCTTAAAGGAGCGCACACCTTCAAAAAATGTTTTAAAATGATTGAAAAAAGCATTTACAGGAGAAATTCTTGTGGGGCTGGGCCTTTAAGAAACGGAGGCAGAGCTCCACTGTAGCTATGGGCCTGCCTCCACACCTTTAATACAGGGGTCCCCAACATTATTTATTCATTTGTGTAAATACATAAGCAGGACCCTGTGGGTACCTCTGGAATTCTGCACTTGAGCTTTCTCTGCATTTCTGTGTGCGTGCACGGCTCCGCCTCCTGCCGTGGCCATTTTGTGCTTGGCTCCGCCTCCCGTGGCAGCCATTTTGTGGACGTGCCCACTGCCCAGAGTCAGAATTCCAAAGGTGCCCACAGGCTCAACAAAGGTTGGAGACCCCTGGCCTAGGCCAACAGCTCACGCAGGCCAGTAAACTAGCAAGTGGGCTACACAGAAACGGCTCTCAAGCCCATTACGCGTCCGCTCTGGATAAGAAGAAGCGATTGGATTTATACCCCGTCCTTCACTCTCTGCAGATCCCTTGTTGCCATTCCCTCTCTGCCCCCAGATCTTCCTACTTGTTGCCAAAACTTTGCCAGCTCTCTGAAAACCTTCTTCTCCCTTCGTATCATGGGATATGAAACGGGAAAATTTCCATGGAGGATTTTGTGGTTCATGGGGCAATTTTTTCCAGGTGGGGATGAAGATCTCAGTGCAGAGAGAAAAGCCATGTAGCCAATACAGAGCTGTGCACTACACCAAACTGGCTCTCTGGCAGCAGCTGACTAGGGCCGGTGTGGTGGTCAGAATGTCAGACTAGCATTTGGGAGACCCAAATTCAAATCTCCGCAGTGCCATGGAAGTCTGCTGGGTGACCCTGGGCCAGTCACACACTCACAGCCTAACCTACCTCACAGGGTTGTGAGGATAAAAAGGAGGAGAGGAGAGCTGTGCAAGGCCCACTGGGTTCCCATTGGTGAGACAAGCGGGGTATAAATGAGCTGAGGGGGTGGTGTAGATTGGTTCCCCCCCTCTTTCCTTTGATCCTCACATCAGCTCTGTGAGGTTGGCTGGTCGGGGAAAAGGAATGTCGAGCCCAGGGACACCCAGTGAGTTTCAAGGCTTGGGAGGGATTCGAAGCCAGACCTCTCCAGTCCTAGTCTGAGGCTCTAACCACTATGCCACACTGGCTCTCCAGCTTACCACAGAGTTAGTAATAGAATTAGGATCGCTCAATGTTGATATTCTTGTTTTTATGCTCAGTTGGACAGGATGTAATGGGTAAATTACAGCAAGTTTGGTGTAGTGGTTAGGAGCGCAGACTGTAATTTGGGAGAAACGGGTTTGATTCCCCACTCCTCCACATGCAGCCGCTGGTGTGACCTTGGGTCAGTCACAAGTTCTTTCAGAGCTGTTCTCTCAAGGGCAGTTCTCAAGAGAGCTCTCTCAGCCCCACCTACCTCACACGGTGTCTGTTGTGGGGAGGAGGTGGTAAAGGCGTTCGTAAGCTGCTCTAAGACTCCTTCAGGTAGCGAAGGGCAGGGTATAAATCCAATCTCCTCTTCTTCTAAATCCATCGACAATGTACTTTGCTGGTGCATTTTTGTTTCTTCTCCGTCTCTTTGGTGGTGCTGTAGTTTAATAAATCTGTTGTTTTTACTAAAGCTTACCAGAGAGTATATGAACTGCCTCCGGGGCTTTCCTGTCCCCCAGACCGTCAAGGGCGTGCCGTTTTCTGTAGGACAACAGAGAGACTGTCAGAAAACAGCCAGCTCTTCTCCCACTATTCTGCAAGCAGCAAATGACCTCTTTGACCCAGACTCTTCGTGTTTTCACGAACTGCAGCTCCTCACGCAAAGCACAGCCCATACGTGAGGCCGAAGTTTCCGAGGGTAGCCCAGTTGGTCTGCGGTAGAAGAGCGAGTTTCGAATCCAGCAGCATTTTAGAGACCGACAAGATTTTGGGGGTGTACGCTTTTGTGAGTCAAGGCGCCCTTCGTCAGATACTGAACTCGATTCTAACACGAGACCCGAGTGGAGTGCCTTTTGTGGCAACATTGCGCCAAGCACTGAAGTCCCATCATGCCACGCTCTAGTTTGGGCAAGGGGCACAAGAAATAGCTGGACCACCCAGGCGTCCACCAACTGCTTTGGGGCATTTGGGGAACAGTTTGACCGATTTCCCACAAGCGGCTGCGCCGCCCCTGCTCTTCCCTTTCCCCCGATTGCATTCGTCAACTTCCCACTACTTGCCGCACGGCCGCATTTTGACCCGCAGCATCCCCTGATTTCTTCCACGTCTTCTCGATCTCAAAAAACAAGGATTGAGAAGACGCGGGGGAAATCGGGGGATGCTGCAGGTCAAAATAGTGGGAAATTGACAAACACAATCGGGGGAAAGGGAAGAGCCGGGGGTGGCACTCAGAGCCCTCTCTGTGGGCACGCGTGCCATCGCCCCAGCCAGGCCCAGCCCGTCATTAAAGTGTCGAATTCTCTGCCAAATAATTTTAAGTAAATGAAAGCATTTGAGATTGCTTTCCTTACTTTGTTTGGATCATCTTGTTGTTTTTTCTAAAGAAAAACCTCAGTATTCAGGTTAAATTGCCGTGTTGGCACTTTGCGATGAATAAGTGGGTTTTGGGTCGCAGTTTGGGCACTCGGTCTCTAAAAGATTCGCCATCACTGGGCTAGGATGTTTCAGAGAGGTGGCTTGATAATTTCCCGCCCCTGCGTCCCAGTCCTGGTATTTCTTGGAGGGGCATGTAAAATCTGCACAGCCTCTGCACCAGGCACTCACCAACAAGGCGCCCACCAACACATTTCCTGGCACACTCACCAAGCGTTCTTAAAAAGTGGGTAGGGCCGGGTGGAGCATTTGCCTAGCAAGGCTTCTGATTGGCCACTGGAGATGAGATTGCCTGTGCAGATTTTTAAAAGTGTTGCTTCGGCATTTTGTGGCTGGCTCCGCCTCCTTCGGCAGCCATTATGTGCCAGCCATTTTTTGGCTGCACCCACCACACTATGTTAGAATTCTAAAGGTGTCCAGAGGTTCAAAAAGGTTAGGGACCTGTGCTCTACACTGCATAATCCAATTAACCCTTCACATCTAAAAGTAAGGAATGGGATCCCTAAAACTGAGCATGCAGCCAGGTTTGTGATCCCCAGAAGTATTTACTCCCTCTCGTCTCTCTCTTCCGGCAACGATGCAGACGCCTCTTCGCCACACTCACTTTTTGCCAAGTACGCTTTGTGGATGAGGCCCGGCAGGACGTGCCCGTCCTCGATGTTGAAGTTGTCGTGAGGCCCGAAGACATTGGTGGGGATGACAGCCGTGAAGCAACACCCATACTGGGCAAAAGGGGAAAAAGGGGCCGGGGGGGGGGGGGAGAGAGAAAGCAGACCAGGAAGCAACTGGCAGTTGTCGTGTGCAGACTAGAACTGAGTTCTGCTCTGCCCAGTGGTCGGAACCTGGAGCACCTATCCACTGGAACGTAAGAAGACCCCTGCTGGATCAGACCAGGGAGGGTCCACCTAGTCCAACATCCCGTCTCACTCAGTGGCCAGCCAGTTCCTCTGGAGGGCCAACAACAGGGCAGAGAGGCCGAGGCCTTCCCCTGATGTTTCCTCCTGGCTCTGGGATTGAGAGGCTAACTGCCTCTGAACGTGGAGGTTCCGCTCAGTCACCATGGCCAGTAGCCACTGATAGATCTATGCTCCATGAATCTGTTTAAACCCCTTCTAAAGCCAGCTAGGCCTGTGGCCATTACTTTTGTCCGTCCTGAACCTTCACGGTAAAGTCCTTGCCCATCCCTAAATGAGGCTAATTTGAACGTCTCCTCATGAATAATAATAATAATAATGTGCTGTCAGATTGCACGTTGGTGTAGTGGTTAGGAGCGTGGACTCTAATCTGGGAGAACCAGGTTTGATTCCCCACTCCTCCTCCACATGCAGCTGCGGGTGTGATCTTGGGTCAGTCACAAGTTCTCTCAAGGACAGTTCTTGAAAGAGCTAGAGGAGGAGGAGGAGGAGGAGTCTCAGAGCGGCTTACAAACTCCTTTCCCTCCCCTTCCCCACAACAGACACCCTGTGAGGTAGGTGGGAGGCTGAGAGAGCTCTTGACAGAAACTGCTCTTTTTCAAGGACAGCTCTGACAGAACTACGGCTTGTCCAAGGTCACCCAGCAGCTGCGAGCGGAGGAGTGGGGAATCAAACCCGGTTCTCCCAGATTAGAGTCTGCGTGCTTAATCACTACACCAAACTGGCTCTCACACCACAGGGTGTCCGTTGTGGGGAGGGGAAGGGGAAGGAGATTGTCAGCCGCTCTGAGACTCCTTTGGGTAGTGAAGGGCGGAGTATAAATGCAATCTCTTCTTCTTCTCTTCTAAATTGCTGTCAAGTCATAGCCAACGTATCATGCCTGCCTCTGCCTAGCAACCCTGGACTTATCCGGGGGTCTCTCATCCAAGTTCTAGCCTGGACCGACCCTGCTTAGCTGCCAAGCTCTGACAATCAAGTTCAGGCTAGGCTGGGGCTCTTAGGATGTTGAGAAGAAGAATGTGCCAGTAAGCCACCACTGACTCATGACAACCCCATCCAGAGAGCATCCTAGGCAAGAGACGTTCAGAGCCGGTTTGCCCTTGCCTGCCTCCGCCTAGGAACCCTGGGCTTCCTTGGTGGTCTCCCCATCCGAGTACTAACCAGGTCCAGTTCTGCTTAGCTTCTGAGATCTATAAACAAAAGCAGGAAGTGGAACAGACCCCCAAAACAAGAAAAACATCGTGTACAGAAATACAATACTAGAAAAAAACAACTAATTTAATAGGATATTAAAGAATTTATGATATATTGTATAAGTATAATTATCGTAATAATATTCAAAATAAGGTCATAATACATATCACATCCCATATGAAAGATCTGAAGCACCACAAGATTCATACATGAGTGGAAGTCAATTATCACTGGAATTAAACAGTGCGGGGATTCTCTTTTCTATATGTCCTGCTACTGCAAGGAAATAATCCAAAATATTCTTCTTCCAGAACTTGTTACTGCAAGAGAAGCAATCCAAGAATCCCGCCGCTACCGGAGAAGCGATCCGACAGCCCCCTGGATGTATAAGCCATTTCCGGCCTTCTTTCTCAAGAACTGCTTTAACAGTTCCTTGTATAAATCATTTTCTGGAACCAATCTCCATCCTTATAACAAACATGTCCACTTTTCCTATTAAATCAGTTATTTTTCTAGTATTGTATTTTTGTACACGGTGTTTTTCTTGTTTTAAGCTTCTGAAATCTGACAAGCTCAAGTTAGTCAGGGGTATTCAGGCTGCTCCTTATGAATAGCCAGGGCTTTTTTTCCTGGGGGGACATGCCGGAACAAAGTTCCGGAACCTCTTTGACAAAATTCTTTTTAAAATGTTTAAAAGTTCATAAGTTTTCAGTTGTTGTTGTTGTTGTTCAGTCGCACAGTCGAGTCCGACTCTTTGCGACCCCATGGACCAGATCACGCCAGGCCCTCCGGTCTTTTGCCGTCCTCTGAACTTGGCTCAACTTCATGTTCGTTGCATCGATGACACTGTCGGGAAAGGCCGCTCTGAGTTTTCAGTACACAGGTAGAGTTCCGGCACCTCTTTATTTATTTTGTCTTTTAAAAGCCCTGTATATAGCTCTTACAGTATTTAATTTATTCTGAAAATCCACAGACCACATCTCTCGAAACACCCATCCAAGATCACACAAACCCAACCACGCAGACCCTGGAAACAAGTCAGCTTCTACGAAAGCTCTTTGTAAGTGAACCAATCTTTGGACTGAGGAAGGCTTCGGCGTGATTGTTTTCAAGGCAAGAAGCGGGAGAGAAGAGCTCACCTGTTTTGGACGTCTATCATCCTCTTCGCATAAGAATATCCAAAATTGGAGTCGTGGGGGGGCCCATTGTGGATCTGGAAGAATCATTTTAAATAAGGGAGTAAGAAATATCGCAGAATCAGAGTTTGGTCCCTGGCACTGTTCCCTCCAAGCTGAGTTAGCGTGAGCTAGCTCACAGTCTTTGGTGTAGTGGTTAAGTGTGCGGTTTGGTGTAGTTTGAGAGCCAGTTTGGTGTAGTGGTTAAGTGCGCGGTCTCTAATCTGGGAGAACCGGGTTTGATTCCCCACTCCTCCAACTGCACCTGCAGGATCACCTTGGGCAAGCCGTAGTTCTGATAAGAGCTGTCCTTGAAAAAGAGCTGTTTCTGTCAAGAGCTCTCTCAGCCCCACCCACCTCCCATGGTGTCTGTTGTGGGGAGGGGAAGGGAAAAGAGTTTGTTAGCCGCTCTGAGACACCTTTGGGTACTGAAGTCTTCTTCTTCTCCTCCTCCTCCTCCTCCTCCTCTTCTTCTTCTTCCTCTTCTTCTTCTTCTTCCTCTTCTTCTTCTTCTTCTTCTTCGCCTCTGGCTCACGCATTTTTGTCTTAGCTCAGGAAGGAGAGCACCAGAGCAAACTAATTTATGCAGTAGCCGAATTGCTTGCTCACGGCTTTAATGCCACACAAAGTAGAACTTTTGCTCACAAGACTCCACAGCTTAGAGGGAGCATTGGTCCCTGGTATGTGCATTTTAAGGATTCCAGCAAGCAACTTTGGTGAAAGGCCTTTCTCTCTCTGAAGAAGAAGAAGAAGAAGATAAGAGATTGGATTTATACCTCGCCCTTCACTACCCAAAGGTGTCTCAGAGCGGCTCACAAACTCCTTTCCCTTCCCCTCCCCACAACAGACACCCTGTAAGGCAAGTGGGGCTGAGAGAGGTCTGACAGAAACTGCTCTTTTTCAAGAAGAAGAAGAGATTGGATTTATACCCCACCCTTCACTACCCAAAGAAGTCTCAGAGCGGCTTACAAACGCCTTTCCCTTCCCCTCCCCACAACAGACCCCCTGTGAGGCAGGTGGGGCTGAGAGAGCTCTGACAGAAATGACCCTTTTTCAAGGACAGCTCTTATCAGAACTGTGGCTTGCCCAAGGTCATCCAGCCAGGTGCAAGTGGAGGAGTGGGGAATCAAACCCGGTTCTCCCAGATTAGAGTCCGTGCACTGAACCACTACACCAAACTGGCTCTCTGGGACCTCAGAGAGTCACAGTCAGTCAGAGGAGACAGGCCTGGGATAGAGAGGCCAACAATTGGACTCTAGAACGCATCTTCATATGTTCGAGCGGGTGGGAAGGCCATAAAAACTCCCTGCCCGAGACCACATCAAACCGAGAGGGTATAGAAACCTGGGAGGGTAGAAGAGATGGTGTAAAATGCCATCACGTTGCAGCCAACTTATGACGACCCCAGAGGGTTTCCAAGGCAAGAGATGTTCGAAGATGGTTTCCATGGCCTCCCTCTCCGCACACGGACTCTGGACTTCCTTGGTGGTCTCCCATCCATGTACTAACCAGGGCCGATACTCTTTCTGAGATCTGAGCCTGGACCATCCAGAAGAAGAGACCAAATTCCCCAAACCCCCAACAGCGAGAAAGAAGAATAGCTGGGAAGAAAATCCTGCTCTGCTGCACCTATCAGAATCTCCTCTGGCATGCAGAATCCAGCTTCGCTTGGTGCCACACTTTGGCCACGAAGGGCCAAATACCCTGCGTGTTTACCAAGCACGAGCGCCCTTCCTTTCGTCCAGACCTGAATGTGGACCAGATGGGTGAGGGATCTATAGAAGATTGGATGGTGCACATTCTATGAGAGACATGTGTACAGTCAGACTCTGTGTCACAAACAAGATAGGTAAGGGTAAAAGGTTTCCCTCTGCTCGAAGGCCAGTCGAATCCGACTCTAGGGGTCCACTGCTGGACCTCCTGATGGCCCCTGGTCTTTTTGGCCACTGTGTGACACAGAGTGTTGGACTGGATGGGCCTTTGGCCTGATCCAACATTGGCTTCTCTTGTGTTCTTAGGGGGCGGTGCTCATCTCCGTTTCCAAGCCGAAGGGCCAGCGCTGTCCGAAGACTTTTCCTTGGTCATGTGGCCGGCATGACTAATAATAATACTTTCCATTTATTAATCGCTTTCCCCAGTGGGCTCAAAGCGATGTACAGTTACTCCATATATAGACAAGGGACTAACAATGTTTGTAAGGGATAGGGAAGACAACATGTATTCATTTTTTAATTGCACACGCCGTCACTGCCCGGTGTAGACGTCTTCTGGCTTGGATCCGGCGTTTTCCGCACGGCTGCTTGCTGGCCAGGCTTCAGGATCCGTATGTCAATCGCCACACTGCCACCGCCTGGCCGGAACATCCATTGCAGGGATTCTTTTCGTAGCTGAGAAGCTATTTCGCCTTCCAAGCCTCGACCAGGATGTCCGACCGTCAGCTAACACCCTCCCACAAGGGAGATTGGCGTGCCCACCCTCTCTAAGGAGTGGTTCCCATTTTATCTACTCGCCGAAGCTTTCGAATCGCTGGGTAGACGATGAGCTGGGGACAACAGGCTGGCTGCTCACACCAGCGCGGGGCTTGAACTAACACAGTTCAGATGTTAAGACAGTGGGATATATCCACTGTGCCACTGCTCCCCTAAACGCCGAGGCACACAGAACGCTGTTCCCTTCCCACCGAAGCGGTACCTCTTTATCTACCTGCAATTTCTTGCTTTCGAACTGCTAGGCTGGCAGAAGCTGGGGCCAGAGATAGGAGCGTCACGTGGCACTCGGGTCTCGAACTGCTAAACTACCGACCTTCCGGTCTGCAGATCAGTGTCTTAACCACTGAGCCACTGTGGCCACTCCAAAAAAGATACCACGCTGTAAAAAATGTTTGAATATGCTAATTTCTGCACACATACACATAGTCTCTTCCTCGCTCTTGCTCTCTGCTAGAAATTTAGATGCGATATGAGGTTTTCTGGAAGATATTTATATCTTACAGCCTGCTTGACTCACTGATTTTGAGGCACTTTATAAAAACATATAAAGAGGGGGGGAAGGGAACCCCACCCCCATCACAAGCACAGCAAGGGATGGATACAGCGGCCCTTACCATGGTTTCGTCGATAGGGTAGGTGGTCTTGTCTGGGAATATGCAAGTAGAGAGGCAGGAGACCACTTTCTGAACGCCAAACTCATATGCCGTATGCAGGACATTGTCATTAATGTGGACGTTATTCCTCTGGGCAAGAACAGAGAGATCGAAGTTACATAAACTGTCACACTTAAGAACCTCAGAAGAGCCCTGCTGTGTCAGAGCAGTGGGGGTCCACCTAGTCCAGCATCCTGTCTCACTCAGTGGCCAACCGGTTCCTCTGGAGGGCCAACAACAGGGCACAGAGGTCCATGCCTTCCCCTAAGAAGAACATCAGAAGAGCCCTGCTGGATCGGACCAGTGAGGGTCCATCCAGTCCAGCCTCCTGTCTCACACAGGGGCCAAACAGTTCCTCTGGAGGGCCAACAACAGGGCAGAGAGGACGAGGCCTTCCCCTGAGTAGAACATCAGGAGAGCCCTGCTGGGTCAGACCAGTGAGGGTCCATCTAGTCCAGCATCTCTTCTCACACAGTGGCTAACCAGCTCCTATGCAGGGCCAACAACAGGGCAGAGAGACTGAGGTCTTCATAAGAACGTAAGTGGAGCCCTGCTGGATCAGACCAGTGAGGGCCCATCTAGTCCAACATCCCATCTCACACAGTGGCCAACCAGTTCCTCTGGAGGGCCAACAACAGGGCAGAGAGACTGAGGTCTTCATAAGAACGTAAGTGGAGCCCTGCTGGATCAGACCAGTGAGGGCCCATCTAGTCCAACATCCCATCTCACACAGTGGCCAACCAGTTCCTCTGGAGGGCCAACAAGAAGGCAGAGAACTGTGACCTCGCACAGTTCCACAGGGCGTTTGAGTAGGAGCCGCCACTACTGTACCATCATCACCTGGCCCTGGAAGAAAGATCGATAGCGCTAAGCGGAACAGATGGCACTGAGTGGATATAACAGCATTAATACGCCATCTTTATGGTAATTTAATTTGAACATCGAGAGCACTTAATAATGTCGAAATATGTTGACTGATTTTAAATGTTTTTAATTGTAATAACGGTGACCAGAACTGTACGCAGTATTCATAATGAGGCTGTACCATGGATTCTGTGCTCATGGAAGACCAAAAATGGGGAACTACTCCCCACCCACCCCCAGCACTATTCTGGTGCAAGAAAACGGCTTGGGGGAGAGCCATTCCACAGAACCCAGACTTCACACATCTCATTTGGCCCTAAGCTGCTCCCCAAAAGGTGGTCAGACCATCAAAGAGCACCATGTCAAAGGTACGACCAGTAGAAAAGAGCAAGAGTCTAGGAGCACCTTAAAGAAGAAAAGAAGAGAGAAGAGACTGGATTCATACAAGAAGAAGAAGAAGAGATTGGATTTATACCCCGCCCTTCACTACCTGAAGGAGTCTCAGAGCGGCTCACAATCTCCTTCCCCTTCCCCTCCCCACAACAGACACCCTGTGAGGTAGGTGGGGCTGAGAGAGCTCTTGACAGAAACGGCTCTTTTTCAAGAACAGCTCTTATCAGAACCATGGCTTGCCCAAGGTCGTCTAGCCAGGTGCAAGTGGAGGAGTGGGGAATCAAACCCAGTTTTCCCGGATTAGAGTCCGCGCACTTAACCACTACACCAAACTGGCTCTCAAAAAGACTAACAAAATACGTGGCTTTGTAGGCGCTTTCCCGAGTCACTGCTCACTTCTTCGGATACCACCAGTTTGCACTAAGCACAGCTGGGAACAGCACAGCACCCACAAAGGTTGTGCCAGAGAAGCACGAGACCGTCAGGCCCCTTGCTGCGGCCAGCAGCCCCTCTCCCTGTGGACACGCACCGTGAGACAGGCAGCCAGCCTCAGGCCTGGAAGCGAGCTAAGCAGATGTGCAAGTACCGGCCTGCTCAAATCCCTACAGCCTCCCGGGAGCGGCAGTTCAGGTGGAGCAGGGAACGCCTGGAACTGCCGTTTCCTCTCTTGACCTCTGGGTCAGGGATGACGTCCGGGCTGCAGATTACAGCGCCACGTGGCTCGCAAACAAGCCTTCTGCCACGGCGGCACAACCTGAACGTGTGGTGTGTGTGTGTGTGTTTGTGTGTCCTCAAACGGCTTTTGCATCCGGGAGAAACAAAGAAAGAGAAGAGGAACATGCAAGGCGTGGCAGTCCTTCTCGCCCGGATCCAGGAACCACCGATCTCCTCAGGCAATGAAAGGTGCAAAGGTAATGCCAGGAGAGGAACTAGATGGGCTGGGGGAGGCCGTTCCCCAAAGCTGCTCTGAACCGGGGAGAGGGGAGCACAATCCCCCCCCCCGCAGCTTTAGAGATCTGCCCCTCGGCCTTCTTGCTCCTCGTCCTCTTTCAGACTGCAAGAATTCAGCTTACACCATGAAGCTGATCAGCTGACCGGGTTTAACAGAGCAACCGAACGCAGGGAAATCGTCACACAACACACCGTGGAACTCTCTGCCACAAGAAGTTGCAACCAGCCACAAAAGCACTGTTTTAGTTGCCATATTCTGTAATTGAACAAACCAGGAACCACCGCAGCAGCATGCAACCATGTCACGAAAGCAAAGGCAGCACAGACTTTCGTAAGGGTTTTATGCCAACCCTTGTTTTAATTTTTTGTCTCTTTCCTAACAATTCCTAACATTGCAGTTCCCTGCTTCCATGGCCATGGGAGGTTGTTTGCTGCCAGCATTCCCCAGAAAGTCTCTCTGCTGCGCACACAATTCAATGGCAAGAACTTTCAGTCATACTCCCAAAGGCTGGCAACTGCCCAATTAGAGAAGAAGATGAAGAGAAGAGATTGGATTTTTACCCCGCCCTTCACTACCCAAAGGTGTCTCAGAGCGGCTGACAAAACTCCTTTCCCTTCCCCTCCCCACAACAGACACCCTGTGAGGTAGGTGGGGCTGAGAGAGCTCTTTCCAGAACTGCCCTTGAGAGAACAGCTCTGACAGAACTGTGGCTTGCCCAAGGTCATCCAGCAGCTGCAAGTGGAGGAGTGGGGAATCAAACCCGGTTCTCCCAGATTGGAGTCCGCACATTTAACCACTACACCAAACTTGCCAAGTGCCCAGGCTGAGTTTTGTGAGCCCCACAGCCCTTACCCAGAAATCCAGGTTGTATTTGATGTTCCGGAAGAGACCGCCCACCATGGCCGCCAGGTGAATGACGTGGGTGGGTTGGAGCCTCTCAAAGATGGCTTTGGTCTGTCCCGCATCCCTGAAGGGAAGAAACAGCAAAGGTGAAGAGGGACTGACATTCCCCCGGGGGCAACGTGCACCTACCCACCCCACCACCGCTTCAGCTGCACAGGAGCATGATGGGGGATATATCAACATCGACAAGACTGGAGGGTGATCAGCAGGGTTCCCTCTAAGCTGAGTTAGTGTGAGCCAGCTCACAGTTCTATAGCCTCCGGCTCACACGTTTGTCTCAGCTCAAGAAGGAAGGCTCCAGAGCAAACTAATTTATGCAGGAGCCAAATTGCTCAATCACAACTTTAATCCCAGTAACAAAGTAGAATTTTTGCTCACAAGGCACCCAGCTTAGAGGGAGCATTGCTCCAGAGCAAACTAATTTATGCAGGGGCCAAATCGCTCGCTCACAACTTAAATGCCCGTAGCTCACCAAGCAGAATTCTTGCTCACAAGGCACCACAGCTTAGAGGGAGCATTGCTCCAGAGCAAACTAATTTATGCAGGGGCCAAATCGCTCGCTCACAACTTAAATGCCCGTAGCTCACCAAGCAGAATTCTTGCTCACAAGGCACCACAGCTTAGAGGGAGCATTGCTCCAGAGCAAACTAAGTTATGCAGGAGCCAAATCGCTCGCTCACAACTTTAACGCCAGTAGCTCACCAAGCAGAATTCTTGCTCACAAGACTCCACAGCTTAGAGGGAGCGTTGGTCACCAGATATGACAAAGAGCAGGTGTGAGGCTAGGGAGGGCGCCCCCTCCACAATCTCACCGCAAAATACCACCCAGGTGGGCCTCTCCAGAGCTGTTCCCACTTGCAAACGCCACCAGAGCTTCCCAAGCCGTGGCTCAGTGGCAGAGGAAATCCTTTGTGTCCAAAAACATCCCATGTTCAACCCTCGGCATCTCATAAGAACATAAGAGACGCCAATGTTGGATCAGGCCAAAGGCCCATCCAGTCCAACACTCTGTCTCACACAGTGGCCAAAAATTCCAGGTGCCCCCAGGAGGTCCAGTGGTGGGGCCAGGACACTAGAGGCCCCCGCATTGTTGCCCCCCCCAAGCACCAAGAAGACAGAGCATCACTTGCCCCAGAGTCCCTATCTATACCTTGTGACTAATAGCCACTGATGGACCTCTGCTCCATATGCTTATCCAATTCCCTCTTATAAGAACGTAAGAGAAGCCAGTGTTGGATCAGGCCAAAGGCCCATCCAGTCCAACACTCTGTGTCACACAGCGGCCAGAAATACCAGGTTCAGGAGGTCCAGCAGTGGGACCAGGACACTAGGAGCCCTCCCACTGTTGCCCCCCCCCAAACACCAAGAAGACAGAGCATCACTTCCCCAGAGTCCCTATCTATACCTTGTGGCTAATAGCCACTGATGGACCTCTGCTCCATATGCTTATCTAATTTCTCTATCTAATCTAATCTCCACTTTAAGTTCTTCAGAAAGCACAGGCTGGAAGGGCTCCTCTCTGCTTGAGATCCCGGAGAGCGGCGGCCGCCCAGAGCGGACAATACTCTTTGATGGGCCAACAGCCTCACTCCCCATGTGGCAGCATTGTACACTCAGGCTCAAGCCCCTAGCAGGCGAGAACTCACGTTAAATCACCGTCTTTGGAGGACAAGAAGATCCACACCTCATCAGGTCGCCCGGCCCCGCCTTCTGCTACCAGCTTGCCTATGGCTTTCCCCACCAGCCCGGAGCCGCCGGTCACCAAAATGCGCTTCATCGGCCTTTCTGGCTCGGCCATGGCGAAAAGGTTCCAGAGACTGGATGGGAAAAGGGGAAAGCTTAGACTCACAGCCTGACATCTCCAAAGGGTTCGCAACATCGTTTACACCAGGGGCGTCGAACTCATTTGTTACGGGGGCCGGATCTGCCATAGACGAGACCTTGTTGGGCCGGGCTGTGTGTGTCACAAAAGGTAATGCCAGGTAGCAGACATGTGAACTTTATAAAGGACACAAAGACAAAGGTTTTTTTTTTTTTAACTTAAAATAAAAACATGCTTAAAACATTAGCACTCTTGCAATATTCTGTTTATTTAACAGTGTCTGATAACAGACACCTCTGAATTATTGCGTCAAAATGTCTGTGCTGTTGCAATCTTGAGTATGCTGTTCAGGTGTGTGAGTTATGCTAATGAGCTCCTGCACCTCTTTTTCTACGAAATGACCCCTGAGGGGGCCTACTTTGATCGATAACGCCCTTGGCTCCTCCCCATTGCTCAATACTGTGGCGGTGGGGAAATGGGGGCCTTAACAGCATTCTGTGATGTTGTAAAGTCACCTCCAGCTGCGTAACAGGAAGTAATGTCACTGCCTCACAGGATGCTCTAGGATTCCCCCCAAAGTCTGTGGTTTCTACCATCGAGTTTTGGGGAAATCCTAGCGTGCCTCATGACTCAATGACATCACTTCCAGTTATGGAGCCAGAACCGATGTTGCAGCATCACAGGCTGCCACTTGCGTAAGTCTCTCTCACTACCCCCGGCCTGGACCCCAATGGTAGCATGTGCGGATCTGCTCATGCACTGTTTTATCCAGAACCATTCACTCCCTAAAAAGCTGCTCCTGAACATCTGGGCCCCACCTGAGTTGGACTAGTTCCAGTGGCCACAACTGAAAGCCAGCAGCCCCACCCTCAGTGAGGACAAGCACTTTCCACTGGCACACACAGCTGGTTGAATCCCAGCCAGTGCCGGAAGGGATGGATGCCGGTGTCAATAGAAACATCGTTTTGGTTCAAATGTGTCCTCCCCACGCCGCCTCTGCCTCGGAGCCGGGCGGGCGGGGGGAGGACCGGCCTCGCCGCCGCCGCTGCCGCCTCAGAGCCGGGCGGGGGGGGGAGGACCGGTCTTGCCGCCGCCGCCTCCTTCTCGGGGAGGAGATCGAGCGGGGGGGATGGAGGAGACGGAGTTCTTCTCCCCCCCCCACGAGTATCGCGGGTCCCCCTCTTGTTTTAATTCTAAGCGCAAATAGTCCAAATGTGCCTTCAGAAAAAGAAGAGATTGGATTTATACCCCGCCCTTCACTACCCAAACGTGTCTCAGAGCGGCTTACAAACTCCTTTCCCTTCCCCTCCCTACAACAGACACCCTATGAGGTAGGTGGGGCTGAAAGAGCTCTGACAGAAACTGCTTTTTCAAGGACAGCTCTGACAGAACTATGGCTTGCCCAAGGTCATCCAGCAGGGGCAATTGGAGGCGTGGGGAATCAAACCCAGTTCTCCCAGATTAGGGTCCATGCACTTAACCACGCCACCAAACTGGCTCTTCACAACAGCCTTGGAAGTTGGGCCTGTGTCATATTCTCTATATTATTTATTTATTTGCTCTATTCATATCTCCTGCTTTTCTCCCCAAAGCCGCTTACATCATTCTCCTCTCCTGTTTTTTCCTCACAACCACCCTGGGAGGTGGGTTCGGCTGAGAGAGTGTGTGACACACCCAAAGTCACCCAGCAAGCAGGCATTCGAACCTGGGTCTCCCCGATCTTAGTCCAACTCTCTAACCCTATACCACGCTGTCTCTGTATTGCACCTGCAGGGCTTTAAGCTACGCTGTAGCCAAGAGGACATGGCTACGAGCCGGGACCCGCTGCCAACCGGGGCCGCAGCTTGCCCGTCTGGAAGGGCTGTGCCACAAGCAGAAATTAACTTCCAGTTAATCAGGAAGGATTTCTGACTTGGAAGTGCTCCCAGCAGATTAAACTGAGTTTTTCAAGCTTCCTCGTTACCAGTGGGATAATTCTACCAAAAGGTCCTCCTTTATTAAAGCAGAAAGTCTTCAGTCTTCCTGGGCATTAGTACTAGGCTAATTTTAATTCAATAACCCCCTAAGATAACAACCAGTGTTAATAAACAACTCAGGCAATGATAAAAAATAAATTTGCTGTATCTGAAAGTATAGTATAACAGAGTCCCATCAACACAGTAATTTTGACATAAAGCGCCTGCCTTATCTAATCCAGTCATGTTAAAATAGAGCACATTTTTGATACAAGAGGGTTAGCAGGGATTTCCTCATGTTCCAATAAATATTGTAAAATGGGGAACCGAATGACTGCAAATTTGGACTGGTAACTAAGAGGGTCAGAGTAGGAGATACTGTAAGGCACCTTCCCCTATTCCCCTGTTATGGGATGGATGCCACTACCAGTGTTCCCTCTAAGCTGAGTTAGTGTGAGCTAGCTCACCGTTCGTTAGCCTCTGGCTCACAGATTTTTGTCTTAGCTCAGGAAGGGATGGCTCCAGAGCAAACTGATTTATGCAGCAGCCAAACCGCTGCCTCACAACTTTAATGCCAGTAGCTCACAAAGTAGAATTTTTGCTCACAAGACTCCACATCTTAGAGGGAGCATGGGCCACTACCCTTCCCAGTGCGACCATGGGGGCAAAGGTCCACCCAGTTTGGGACGCTATTCTCAACAGCCAGCTGCTTTTAGTCAAGCCCAAAAGAGACACCTGGCATTCAGAGGTACACTGCCTCTCTCCATGGAGGCTCCACTTAGCCACGGACTCAGCAGTCCTCCCACGACTCTGTGTCCCATTCCCCACTTCCAAGCCTGGACCAGCCCAGGCCAGGCCAGCACGTGGTGAGGTCAGGAAATTCCCGGAGATTTGCTGGTGGAACCTATGGAGGGACTTCCGTAGGGCAGAATGCCAGAGCCCGCCCTACAAAGCGGCCACTTTGTCCGGAGGCACTGATCTCTGCTGTCCAGCTGTCATTCCGGGGGATCTCCAGGCCCCACCGGGAGGCCGGCAATCCGACAAGGCTAGGAGCCGGGACCAGCTGCCAACCGGGGTCTGGAAGCGCTGCGCCACTTGCAGCAATCCGGCCGGGGTGGAGGGGTTTCGGAGGCAGGGGTGGGCAGGGAGCTGCCCCTGCAGCCTGTCCGCCTTCGAAAGGGCGCCAGGAGGGACGCTGGCGAGGAGGAGGCGCCGACGAGCGCGCACTGCCGCGGCCATTCCCGGGGGCGCGACCCCTCCTGGCATGCCCAGACTGCAAAGGGAAGAAGGGGGCAAGGCTGGGCGAGGATTGGGGGCCCTGCGCCGCTCTCTCCCCGCCACCCCCAGCCCCGACCCCCCGGCTGCCGCCGTGCCCGTCGTCCAGTCCTGCAGTCGCGCACCACAAGCCCTGGCCCGGCCTTGGAGGGGTTGTGCATTGCGCAGCAAGGGCGGCCTTGCCAACTCTGGGTCGGGGGATTCCTGGAGATTTGGGGGTGGAGGTTGGGGAGGTAAAGGTAAAGGTTCCCTTGCTCGAAAGCCAGTCGAGTCCGACTCTAGGGTTGCGGTGCTCATCTCCGTTTCAAAGCCGAAGAGCCAGCGCTGTCCGAAGACGTTTCCGTGGTCATGTGGCCGGCATGACTAAACACCAAGGCGCACAGAACGCTGTTCCCTTCCCACCGAAGCAGTACCTATTTATCTACTTGCAATTTCTTGCTTCTGAACTACTAGGTTGGCAGGAGCTGGAACCAGAGACTGGAGCTCACTCCGTCACACGGCACACTCGGGTCTCGAACTGCTGAACTACCGACCTTCCACAGCCTGCAGTTCAGCGTCTTAACCATTTGAGCCACCCCAGCTCCGTGCAAGTTTTGGGATGTACTAAAACTAAGGACAGCGATTGCCCATAGGGAATACATGGGTGCCCATAGAGACTAATGGAGAGTAGGCTTCCCCAGAGGGGATAGTGCAGTACACCATTGCCAATAGATAAATCAAAATGGCCAATAGAGAATCTACGACTGCCCATAGGGAATAATGGAGAGGTCGCTTGCCCATAGGGGATAATGGAGTACATAACTGCCAACAGAGAAGGCATAATGCCAATAGAGCGTTGCCGCTCGGACATCACACGCGAGAGGTCATTCTGGCTCCCCCAGCTCTCAGGAGGGGCTCTTTTAAAAGTTATGGCTGCCGCCACTGTTCTCGGCAGCTCTGAAAGAACTTGTGACTGACCCAAGGTCACACCAGCAGCTGCATGTGGAGGAGTGGAGGAATCAAACCCGGTTCTCCCAGATTAGAGTCCACACTCTTAACCGCTACACCAAACCGGCTCTCCAAAGGACTAGAACTCTAGGGCATCTAATGAAGCGGATGGGCAGTAGGTTTAGGACAAACAAAAGGTAATACTATTTTATACGGAGAGTGATTAAAAGGTGGGATTCTCTGCCAGAGGATGTAGTGATGGCCACAGGAATAGACAGCTTTAAAAGGGGATCGGATAGGTTCATGGAGGAGAGGTCTATCAGCGGCTACTACCGTGTTTCCCCGAAAATAAGACACTGTCTTATATTTATTTTTTCTCAAGAAGACACATTAGGGCTTATACCACAAATGCATAGAAATCCTGCTAAGGCTTATTTTTGGGGTAGGTCTTATTTTCGGGGAAACAGGGTAGCAATGTTGACTGAGGGGAGCCTCCACGTTGAGAGGCACTAATCCTCTGACTCCCAGAGCCAGGAGGCCACATCAGGGGAAGCCCTCGGCCTCCATGCCCTGTTGCTGACCGTCCAGAGGAACTGGTTGACCAATTGTGTGAGACAGCGGGGCCATTCTTATATTCTTATGCACTGCATTCTGGGATTCCACTTTGGGGTCAGGAAGCATTCTTCTCCAGGCCAGTTCGGCCAAGGATCCTGGAGGGTTTGGGGTTTTTTTGTCATTTACTGGGCATGGAGCAGGGGTCACTGGGTGTGTGTGTGGGGGGGTGGGTATTTGTGCATTTCCTTTATTGTGCAGGGGGTTGGACTAGATGACCCT